GATGCAAGGCAACGCGAAGCTCCAGATGGTAGAAGAGCACCGTGCCGAAATTATCGTGGATGTTATTTTAATGTTGCGAGATTATAGTAAGAATCTGAATCGTTTTTGGTATGTTCATAACAGCTTCATATGAAAGGTTAGCTCACCGATCCCACACATGACACGTCTTCAAATTAATCTTGCTATCGTACCGCCACCGTCTAAAGTCTTCAAATCCGTCCTATAACAGGTATCATACAATCAAAGATCCAAGACTTTTCAGCTCTACGGAGAGTAATCAAAGGCGACAAAAAGACTACTGCCAATTGACGTTAAAAGCGAATGATATGAGACATGATGGAGGAAGACAAGCCTTGGAAAGGATTTATCAAGGAAGATTCAGATGCGAAACCCCACAGCTCGGTTGGTGTAGCGACCGGAATGCTTCCGGTCGCTACACCAACCGAGCTGTGGGGTTTGTTCGAGTGCTTTGCTACAATGCAGTCAGGTGAAGTGCCCACCTAGGCCTTTGCATAGGCTGTCCCATCATAAGGTCTTTGCAATTATTGGTTTCCGGCCCTAAATTCCCGTGATTATCCCATTAGTTTTTTAGCGCTGAATATTGCCCTCCACTAAGAGGTATACCTCTGCCGTTCTCTAACGCATGCGGCGTGATTGTAGCGTTCCATCGTAAGGTGTACCACCTTGGTCGAAAGTATTTCAGCACAGCGCAGCTTTGTTACAAACCCCCACTATTTGTTACCAGATGGGCTATATATGCTTATGCACGCATTATATGTCCACGACCGCTCATCCGTAGGCCCAAAACTCCTGCAGGTACTTTGTCAGGTGATATCTTTCCGCGCAAAAACATTGGCAAACTTATTTTCATTAAGAAAAAGCTAGTCCCCTAACAACGACGGTACCACCGGTTCAGTTTGTCATCTATCATCAAACTTGACCAGTTCTCGAAAATCGGAAACAAATTCGAAATCGCGCGGAAACATCACAAACCTTCACAAGGGTCGTGCACAATACGAAGCCGATCGGTATCAATCCGAGAAATTTCGTGAATGCACCGAACACTGGGCAGAAATTAAGTACTGAATAAAATATCTACTAATAATTCCAGTCACGGTGAGATAATAAATTTTAAACAACATGGAACAAACCTGCAATAAATAAAAAGTACATGTTAGCATATTTTGTGGTCATCTGATGAAAAATATTGTACGGTATGAATGTGAACAGCCCATATTTGGTGGTTGTGATGGCATTGTCGGTGAATTTATGAAAATTACTGAGATCGTAGCGAGGTTCATCAAACATATGATTTGGCTGAATCATACGCGACCTGAAAAAAATTTGCTTACCATGACAATGAATCCCCGTTATTCGACCTAGCCTAATAATCCAGTCTTCGGTGTAGGATCATTGCTACCAAGTAGTCAAAATCTCATAATAAGTAGATCCTATAATTTTTTTTGTTTGTTCAACCTCCCGAAAGGGTTTGTATCTACACCGACACTGTTACAACCGGTTACCGTAACGGTTCGTCTTAAGCCAGTCCCTATTCGACGTTAAATATCCCGAGGCCCTATGAGGACCAGGATATCATCCGCTCTTCGTTCGGCTGATCAATGTTCGACCTTTCTCTTTGTCCGAAAATAGAATTCTTCGGGAGGTAGCCCTTGAAAACCGCCGAAACAGGGCAATCGGATTAATGGGCATGGAAGAGGTAAGAGGAAGGGCATGTCATCTACTATGTGCGATGGGCGCAAAACATACTTTTATTTCATTTAGCAAGTAAAAAAGGAGTAACGCATCAGCGTTGACAACTACATATAATGCTATGGGGCCCAATTCACGTACTTTACACCAAAGAACCATTCAGGACGTTCGTCCACGGATCCAATACCATACTGCACCCATATTTCGATACAAAAAAAAACTGCCATCACTACTGAGAGTGATCCTTGAGTTGAGAATGAGGCTTACCCTTTTTCTCGACTGCTACGTCCACGAAGTATCGTAATCGGGTTGTGCAACGGTGCAGATGGTGGTACCCATTGGGAAGACGACCGTTTGTGCATATGGCGAGAGACAATCATTCTGAATAAGTGTTTCCTGTCGCCTGAAATAGAGACACAAATTCATAAACGTGAACAGAGGATGACTACATCTCTTAAGCCGTCCGCGAGAGAAGCCCTCTTGATATCCTTGAACGAACTACGCACAAGAACAATTTTTTAGGGGCAAACATTGCAGACGAAAAAAAAANAAAAAAAAATCAAAAAGAAGAGGGAAAAATAGAGAAATTTTGAGATAATCTGGGAATGCTCAAAACCAGCTGTTGAGATAGTTCGAATCGGTCATGAAGCAACAACCGAATCGATCCTAGAATATGACGCATCTTCACTGATAAGGCGCAATGTTTGCAAAGGGATCCCTGAATAACGTAAAGATCGGAAGCATACAAATTCCATTAAGGTCAGGACGTTCAGGTAGAAGGTAGATAAAAGGCTAGGATAGAGCATTGATAGTTAGAGCTCCAGCTGTACGTACAGCCCGAACCCAAGGATCAGACTCTTGGTCGAGCCTGCAGGGGCTAAGCGAGTCTTCGGTATCGTCAAATTCACCGATCCAGAAGCAAATTTGTTCAAGAGAATACAAGCTAAACCTTGCATTTTGGTCATCCATTAACTCCGACATTTTTCCAGGTCTAGGTTCAAATCGCCGGATGCCAGGGAATGTATTCAAATATTTTCAATACTCTGAACCGGTTTCATATGAATGGCGCATTCTAGGGCTGAGCTCCAAGCTTATTATTCCTCAGTTTCGATTGCGGAATGGTAATCTCACAGCCTAATCTGTCTCCACTAGTGTATCATCCAGTAATTTATGAACACTTTAACACGAAAAAAAAANAAAAAAAAAGATTTTTCAATAAACAATTATAAAGCTTGGTAGTAGTCTGAGTGCATTCCACTTTTCGTTTGAAAACCCCGCAGATAGTCACAGATAGTCACAGAGGCTGAAACCTCTCTCATCAGATTCACCTGGACTCTCACAGCGTAGGTAGATCCAGAGCTACTGACATCATCATTTGTCCCAGCTACGAATTTTGTAGAAATTCCTGGATCAAAGCATAGTAGCAACGACATATCGCCTACTCGCAGTTTTCTGGAAACAAACAAAAGTAAGAGAAAGGCCTGCCAAAGAAAGAAAACCGAAGATTCTTGAAGAAGAAAAAAACAAAGTGAAATGAGATAGACTGTCATCGGATAGAAGGAAATGCATTTCACGAGTTGCAAACTGATACCAGAGCCATTACAGCAGAAAGAAAGTCTGGAGGGAAAACCAAGTGTGGGGTTAGGCCCTTGTCACTGAGAGAAAGCGTCCTCGAACCTGTGAAGCAACGGAAAATCAAGGAAGGAACTCTAGCTGCCTTTGGTTTTCAGGCAATCGAAGATCATGCGTGCAGCCGCAGAGTTGTTTTATCGAAGATCAGATTAACAATACACATCATGCGTTTTGTAAAACTGAACGATTTCTAGACCATTGGATTGGAGCTTGAATGCGTATGCGTACAAGGTCGTTATGGCAGGCAAGGACTGCTATTGAGACTTGGATCTGATTTTGGAGTCCATAAATTACCACTTTTTATCGGAATCTTAGGCAACTCCGGGAAAACTCTGAGTCAAAAAACGACGATCTACTGCTACCATATGATTTGCTGCACTTGTTTTCTACAATCTTTTAAGTATTGACGATTAGTAGGAACAAGAAGTAGAAGAAATGTGAGGGATACTATTCTCCTGACCCTTCTTTGATTTCTTAGAACTCTACCTATCCTTACCGTAACCTATTTCCCCTACACTCTTCTTCACGAGCTATCACAACTAGCTTTCACTGTGTACAGGAAGGAATATAATGTTCCGCGCTTATCAGGTCTTCCTTCGGAACGCTAGACGTCCAACTTGTGTTCCAAAGTCGATCCAAATGCATCCGTAGTACTGGTCAGTCGGGATACAAGTCAGTATTTTTATATGATTCCTAGTTACTATTTTGGTATGCTGTACTAGAAATTTTGCCAAGATTTGCATAGGATGACCTCGCTTCATCTGTGGAAGACACTCCACAAAAACAAAAAACTTCCCTATGAACTGGAAAAGAAAGACACCAATGTTTCAGTGCGCGATCATCAGGCAGCGTCAACTAAGCGCTCTATTTTCCGTCGCAAATACCCTGAACTTATAAACTTGACCGATCCGAAATCGGTGTTCTACTGAAGGCACGGTTAGGCAACCTGTGAACATCGCTGGTGCCACGTCCCAGCGGTACATACTATGTTCTGCTACCATATGTAGTTCACCATTCACTACAAAAGGTGGAAAACAGTCACTCAAAAGTAGTGGGTACTATACTATGAGTTTTCCATTACCCACTACCTCATCAAGTTTGAGTCAGGAGAAAAAAGAAAGTAGTGCGTCATTCGAGGTACTGGTCTATGGCCACATTAGGCAATATTTCAGTGGAGAATAGACAGGAAAAAACTCTTTGAAACCTTTATTACTTAGTTTTACTAATCAAATTCGAATCACACTATAAAATCCAAAATTTTCTGAAGGAATGGCATGGGGACAACGAAGCAAAAACTCTAAGCAGATCGGAGTGAACAAAACTTTACTTAGCGTTCAATCACACCTTTCATTTCCAGAAACAGAATCCCTGCACCTTATAGCAAACTATATGTTTATATACACAAACAATCAAAAAATAGTAAACATATACACAACAAAATCATTGCACCATCACGTTTATCACATTTGAAACCTACGAAAATGAAATATAACTGAAATGAGATTCAGCATAATAATTAATCGATCAAACAAATTCTAGAAGCAAAAAATTTGAACACAAACAAAATGCAAAAGGGCAATTCGAAAATCAATTTAAATAAAAATTACTATGTGGTACTGTTAGGCACATTTGTCTACAATAGCTATGTCATTTTAGACGCTTGTTGAACCAGTCATCGCCAGTCAGTGTGAGACGAAAACCGACGTAGCCCCTTGGCAAGTCAAATTAGTAAATGTGAACGCAAAACTAACTTAACACCTCAGTATTATTAACTGTTGGAAAGAGCTTTAGCCAATTCCATCCCTTCACATCCTTGGCCTCGAATAACTACTAATACTCCCATTACTTCAGGATAAGGTCAAGGTCATCACAGGACGTGCAGCTTATACCGATTTTCATGACTTTTGATCAACAGAATCAGCAAATAACTCAACGGCCACGATGCATGATTAAGAAAGAAAACCTTTTAGAATATCACAATTTCTAAAATAACACGAAAAAATCGCTTGACTCTGGGTTGGTTTTCTGGACCCCAAAACATGACCAGAATAAAAAAAGAACACGACCAGAATAAAAAAAGCTTTTTGGCAATAGCTTTCCAATATATTTGGGCGTATTCGACTTTATAAAGTCCACGCAAAAACGCCAATGTCGAGCGGCAGTTTTGCGATGCGCACGTGTAGAATTGAAGGCAGTGGGCACGATAGTTCAGAAGAACGATGAAAGTGAGGTACCAATTGGACCGACAGCGACGAAAATTCGTTAAATTTTGAGAATGTTAAAAAAAACATCAGGATGGCCCCGCGTAGCTGCTTACTAGGAGGCCTAGAGCGAGAACGCAGCGACATCAAGAGAGAGCCATCAGTACGAAGGCTAGACAAGTTTAGAGACGCTGCACACTTGGCTATTCGGAGGCTTAGCGTTTCCCGTCTATCCCCATCAGCGTTGGAAAAACGCAACCCCTTGTTTCGCTTCGAAAGATGCTAACTCTTTACGGTCAGTATCTGTCTTTGTCCATATTATCATGCCCACTACGCTTATCGCATCAGCCACGATTCCAGTACAGCTTTAAACGCTGTACAACAAGTGAGATGTGTAGGAAAGTGTTTGTCTGGGAACTGACTTCCCCACTGGTAATTTTCGCTTCACACTTTCGCAAGAACCTCCCATTTGTTGAGCATCATACTTAAATAACAGAATCGTCGCCGAGCGTGATTATGGTCACGTTATTATGGGTGTGGAGAACACGATCCGGCTGCCGTCGGGAGTCCCGCCAGCTCTCCTCCGGATGGGGCGGTCGTTCATGTCTACGCCTAGAATCTTCAAAATTGTCGTCGTCACCTCGAACCACGGTGACCATTTTCCCTGTATGCTCGTCACGTATCGTTGAGGTCCGTAAGTGGGATGTTGGCTGTTTCAACTCGAAACCATCACTGGAAAGAAACTACTTTCCATACCTAATAGAATTACCGACAAATTGATGGAAAACTTTGAGCTATGACTTCGTAAAGCACGCGTGCCAGTGACTTACTCTAGAGGAACGACGTCGAGGAAACCAAATTTGAAAAGATACCTATTTGAGACTGACAATTAACAAATTCACCTGCTTACGAAACGTCTATGGGGCAATCCATTATTTGGTGGGAGTCCAACACCATTGTTCGGAGGGTTCTGTCGTGGATCCGGTGGCGGTAGGTGTTGGAAACTTGAGTGCGGTATTCGTCGAGATGGAATCTAAAGTCAAGTATAGAGGAATATGGAGTTCAGAAAGACCTATGACGACTGAAAACGATGAAACCTTTTGAACTCCTTTGTACATATATTCAAATGGAAACCATAACTTCTTATGGAAATTGGAAACATACTTCGAAGGGGATATCCTTGCCATTCGCAACAACCTGACGATTTTCCGGTATCATAGAGGATGAACTACTACAAGGATCATCTGTTGTCGGTCGCCTGAAAAAAGGTGCGCTGCATGATTCAAAGAGTAAAGGTGAAAAATGGAAAGCCTATAATGGTAACATTTACCTAGATCCCGGCGCAGATGGTGTTCTTAAATGAATAGGCTTCTTACTACGGCGTGGATGAGGTGACCGACCAACAGCTAAAAATGTTAAATAACCGGAGCAGATAACGCCTTGACAAGTTAAGCGACTTTCGGAAGCTACTGGAGGGTAAGTGATGGAATTGCCCGATTAAAACTATGTCATCATTTTCGCTATTGGACGAATACTGTAATTGAATTTATGCAAGCGAAAACTCAGCAGAGCTGTTTGCAATAAAACATAAAAAAAAGTTTAATTCAAAATATAAAAAATAGAAAAGTAGGTGAAAAAGAATGAGCCCCAATGAAAAACGATTGAGCTTGAAAGAAAAAAGAATGTCAGATATAGGTAAATGACCTTCAAAATTACTATTTCGTTTCACTGCTTTTTCATGACGAACTCATCCAATTTTATTATACCCGTCTTTGAATTAATACGTTCACGACAATAAAACTTACAAGCCGCATGACTCCGTCTCGATTTGATCTCCTCCTGTTCTTCGCGGATTGACGATATTGGGCGAGAAAGAATCGGACCAAGAGCTTTCATTGGTACCTCTGGTAGATCGTCCGGTTTCGGAGGGGGTGGGATATGAAGGCCGTCGTTCTAAGAAAGGAACGTTAATAGAGAATGTAATTCGAGTATCGTCCAATTACAAGAATGTGAAGAAGTAAAACGAATTTGTATGAGTGAATAGTTGATAAATTGTGAATGTATGCTCAGAGTTGTCTTTATGTGAACTCATAGGACCCGGCACTACAGCAACGAAACAAAAAAACGAAAAAATATCATTGGAACTTTAGTCAGAGCAAAAAAGCAAGCATGAGCAAGTGGTATGAAAGCAAAAAACGAATTGAATTGCTTTTGTGGTTATAGCTGATAGGAACTCCGAAATGAAGTTCTTTTCACCCAAACGTCCCTAAATATGCTTGTCTTCAAAAAGAGCACTTCAAAAAACTGTTTTTTCCTCAATTTACAGTAATGAGTTTCAATTTCCTGCATAACTCTATAACCAACCATTGTAACTGGTACCGTAATGAGAAAATGAAAAAGAAAACGAAGTAATCGATGCATGCATGATAAAGTAATGTAGTTAAACGACACAGCACCTTCAATTTACTCAGCACTTCCCGTAACGAAAACATCGCCTCGTCATCAGAATATCCGAAATTAGTTGCAAGCGTTGTCTGTATAAAATCCATGAAATTTTCCATCTGCAGCTTTCGTATGGACTCTGAAATACAAATGTTAAGCGAGGAATGTTTGATGCTCCTTACGAAAAGGTTAAAAAACAAATTATCAGTCATAGTGTTTACGAAATTACCAACACAAAGTGACAAAAAGATTTCAAAAGCTATAATAAAACATGGAGCGAGCACTCAAGCAAAGCAGGAGCACGCTACAAGAATTCCTAGGAGTTACCGAATCGAGTTAAGTTGTTATATGCAAGTGCTACCTCTCAAACCACTACGTGAATATGAAAGCCTGCCCTCCTTGAATAAATAAGAACGACGCTATCCATTTCACATTACTTTGTAGAATACAATTTATAAAATGTAGAGAAAGTCAAAGGAATAAGACTAACTGTTATCTTACAAGCTCTATGATGCATTCAAACTTTACAATGAGACGAAAGAAGGTTAAGTTACTCGCCTTTGACTACTTACAAGTTAAAAAGACAAACGTAGTTTTAGATTGGCTCAATCGCAAACGACACTAGGAAAAAATGCAATAGCCAAAATCACACTGAACTTACTTTCATGCATTTTCATGATATTCAACGCCATCGCAAGCAAAATCGGGTCCCCTTCAAGAATGTAAACGTCCCATAATCTGAAAATTGTACTTGATCATAAAGATACAAAAAGAAATAAAATACCGAGAAAAGACCCTCCAAAGGCACGTCAACTCGAATAGAAAGTATTTGCAAATAAACGCGCTCAGCGTAAAGAAAATTAGTCCAAATGAGCTACACTCGTACCCACCCTTTGCTAAACCTTATTTTG